AAAGAATCAAAAAAAATTAAAATGAAAACTATTCCAGGTTGAAGCAATTTTTTTGATCTTCAACACTATGCTAATTGATAAATTTTCTTTCTTATATACTATTTTTTATCTCATTTTTCTTACACGTGTTTTTTTATTAGGTTCCATATATTTATGCATATAGACGCGATTACCTTGCAGAATTCCATAAGGATTCCTCGGTATCGCATGAAATCCTTAATCGCTCTAATTTGTGGCATATTTACGATTTGGAGTACAGATATAGATTATTTATAGAAAAACGAGAGGCAATACAAGGAATGATTTCCAAATATCAAATAGATGTTGATAATGAATACATATTAAATCTTCTCGAATCCGCCTCAAGTGAAGAAGCACTTTCAGATCTACATGACTATATCCATCATAAATATTCAAGGAGGATAGCATCATCATCAGAAGTCTCTAATACACCTCGTCGCCTAAAAAAAGCATCATTTTATGAGGAATGCTTGAATCGAGGGATTGACAGATTAGTAAGTAGTTTATTTGTTTACAATTCTTAAAGATTATATTAAATTATATTAGATTATATTAGATTATATTAGATTATTTATATTGATTATAATTTTTAATTACATAGAATATGGGTATTGATGTGGAATCGTTTGCTAAAAGTCTTATTGAGGATAATCCGAAAATTTATCATCTTACTGAACCTGAGGTTGACCCTTCGATTGCTGAGCAGTATTTTAAATCTAATCCCAGACTCGCTTTAGCAGGTAGTAATTCTTTTTTTTTTTATTCAAAAATTTATCAATTGCATTTAATAATCGCATTTAATAATACTATTCTTAGATGCAACCAAAATGCTTGCTATGGATATTGCATTTGATCCATTATTCAGGAAATATGTTCGCCAGAATTTCATCAGAAACAGCGTGATTTTAGTAAATCCTGTACAAAGTATTAGTGAATCCGATCCATCATGGGTAAGAAATTATAATAAAGTAATATTATGTATATTTAAATCACGATATTTCTTATTTATTTATATACAATCTTTATTCAATTTATTAGCCATTCCGATTTTTAAGAAAGCATATTAGTAAATTTAGAAAGAGTGGGTTATTCGCTGAAATAATGGCAGCAGAGCTGAAAGGTCAAATTAAAGTCAAGGTTGTTTTAGAAAATGAACAAAGATTTCTTGAATCCTTGAAAAAACGAATCATAA